TTGCCCTCGACTTGTCCACCTCCTCACCCTCCTCGTGCTGCCATTCCTAGCGATCCCATCATTCGACTTGGGCTCGACATATCATGCAGCAAGGGAGTATGACTCCATCAGCCTCGCTCGTGCTGGTCAACTGACAGTGCTAGCTTTCCGTATGTGTAATCCCAAACTCCGAAGGGAGCTCCAGCAAACTCTTCATTTAGAACGTAAGAGTAAGGCTGCACTGCGTGCTCGCCACGCCTCGCTGGTCGCGCCCGACTACCAGGCGAATGCCCGTGCTACAGTCAACCCGCATAGTAAGGATGAGCAACTTTCCAAGGTAACCCTTGCATCCTTCCCTTTCGGCCCATCCTCGGCCACTTCCGCTGGCCGCGTCCCGCTCGGAAAGGATCGACACGGCATTCCAAGGCCCCTGCATCTTTATCGTCGTCTTCATTCTACGGGTTGACTGTAGCGGCGCTGTTGCACCATCTCGCACACGCAGGCCTGACCCTCCGCCGGTCGGCCTACTGCTGCCTCGGTCTCGGCGTTCAGGGCAGGCGGCAGGCTGAGCGTCACTGCGCACTTTTCTCATTCTTGACCACCGTTTGACTCGTCCCCCGTTGGCGACGTGCGTTCCTCCTTCTCCTCGTCCTCCTCGCCTTTCCCCTTGTTCCCCTCCTCTTCCTCCTCCCGCTCCTCCTCATGCCAATGCTGGTCTCACATGGTTTCGTCAGCTGCTCCTCCCAATATAATGCTTGACAGCTTGCAACGCTCAGCGCGTCGGCCAGACCTCCGGGCCCTCAGAGCGATGGCTTCTCCTCGTGCTTTTCCTCCTGTGAAACAAATCTGATGCAGGGCGCATATCCGAGGCGGGAATTTATACATGACCACCGCCTGGAGGGTGGATATGGACATATTCGGGCCCCCGGGGGCCAAAATATTTCCATATCCACCGCCCGCTGGGCCACCAGGACGTCGGTTCCAGCACTCGCGCTCCGAACGCACACCGTAGTTCGCACACTGTTTTGATACAGTGGGCGCGCCGTCATGCCGAGAAGCGCGTCGGTGGAGGCACACGCATGCAGTGGAGTATGAGATTTACCGTCTGTGCGCGCCGGGGCACCGCTTCATCGAGGCGTCGCCCCAGTTTGAACTCCATGCGAATGGGGTGATGTGGGTGTCGATCTGCATGTTCACTTTCCACGTCTAAGCGGCCGTCGAAATCAACAGCTCCGAGTAGCGAGTTCGCACTCGCGTGCCGCATCTGGTAAGTTGGATCAGGTTCAGCACGCGAGACGTAGAGATCTAAGCGGGCAACTTGGTCAGCTCCTGCACGCTTCGGTTCTTCACCAGTACAGTAGGCACGCCAACAAGAAACTAGCCTGCCAACAGGCGCCGCACGGAAGTGCCTTATCCCCCGATGAGGCATGCGAAAGCTCTGGAGCACCTCAGGGAGCTCAACGACAAAGTGCCACTAGATGTCTCACAGCAAAGTTTATTTTCATATTTGTCTCCTGCAGGCGATCGGCGACTGGCTGGGACCCAGGTATGGGGTCGCCAGGTGAGGGGTCCCGCTTCTCAGATCTACTTCCCCGTCCCCGACCGCACCTGATATTGGAACAGCGCGCTGCTCCTCCCGAGGCTTGTTTGGATTTGGTTGGCCACCTCCAGCTACCAGCACCGCGTGGGGTGGTGCAACCCATGTATAGGAGACCCTGATGCGACGCCCTGATTGAGTCCGCGTCCGGGTACACTACTGTATTCTCACCACGTGGCCGACGTCGTGGCCCAGACCGAACGTTCCAGCGAGAACCCGCTTGCAGGGACCGAGCGCGCTGGGGACCTTCCCCCTGCAGATGTCGAGAATCTCTGAGCCGCCTGAAGCGGAATGCTCTCGTGTCCCAACGCCTTTTTTCTCAGGGACAGAAACATTGATTCGGCTGTTAATGCAATTCCCTTCGTTTTCTCTCGCCCCTTCTCCGCCCGCTGCTCCTCCTTCTTCTCCTCCTTCTCCTCCTCCATCTCCTCCTCCTCCTCCTCCTCCTCCTCCTCCCTCTTTATGCTGCTGCTGGTGATCCTGCCGCCGCTGCTGGTGCTCCTGCTGCTGTTGCTTGCTGTCCTCGTCGTCATCCTGCCCCACGTCCTCAGTGACGTCCTTATCCACCTGCTTTCCTTTTATCCGCAGTCTCCTCGGCAGATTCCCCCTCCCCCTTCGTAGCCCAAGAGTATATACATATACGTCAGAGTGATGGGGCTGAACCGAACGGTCATTCACTGTCCCTGGGTGCGTGGCTGAAGTGGAATTCCGCGATGCGGTTGCTGTTGTTGTTGTTTTGTTTTGTTGTTGTTGTTGTTGTTGTTGTTGTTGTTGTTGTTGTTGGTGTGTTGTTGTTGGTTGTGTTGTTGTTGTTGTTGTTGGTGCTGCTGCTGTTGTTGTGGTTGTTGGTGTTGTTGCTGCTGCTGCTGTTGTTGGTGGTGGTGTTGTTGTTGGTGTTGTTGTTGTTGCTGCTGTTGTTGTTGTTGCTGTTGTCGTTGTTGTTGTTGTTGCTGTTTTTGCTGTTGTTTGTTGTTCGTTGTTTGTTGTCGTCGTCCCACCCGCGACCCGCCCCGCGACCCACCCGCGACCCACCCCGCGACCCACCACCCCGCGACCCACCCGCGACCCACCCCGCGACCCACCCGCGACCCACCCGCGACCCACTCGCGACCCACCCCGCGACCCGCCCGCGACCCACCCCGAGACCCATTGGCGACCCACCCGAGACCCACCCGCGACCCACCCGCGACCCACCCGCGACCAACCCCGCGACCCACCGCGACCCACCCGCGACCCACCCGCGACCGACCGCGACCCATCCCGCGACCCACCCGCGACCCATCCTGCGACCCACCCATAATTTTCGGCGCCTGCGGCGGGCTTCTTTTGCACTCGTGGGGCTGAACCGAACGGTCATTCACTGTCCCTGGGTGCGTGGCTGAAGTGGAATTCCGCGATGCGGTTGCTGCTGTTGTTGTTGTTGTTGTTGTTGCTGTTGTATGTTGTTGTTGGTTGTTGATTGTTGCGTGTTGCTTGTTGTGTTTGTTGTTGTTGTTGTTGTTGGTGTTGTTGTTATTGTTGTTTGTTGTTTGTTCTTTGGTGTTCGTTGTTCGTTGTTTGTTGTTTGTTGTTTGGCGTTTGTTGTTTGTTGTTTGTTGTTTGTTGTCGTCGTCTCACCCGCAACCCGCCCCGCGACCCACCCGCGACCCACCCCGCGACCCACCCGCGACCCACCCCGCGACCCACCCCGCGACCCACCCCGAGACCCACCCCGCGACACACTTGCGACCCACCCGCGACCCACCCGCGACCCACCCTGCGACCCGACCCGCCCGCGACCGCCCCCGAGACCCCCCCGCGTTCCACCCGCGACCCACCCGCGACCCACCCGCGACCCACCCCGCGACCCACCCGCGACCCACCCCGCGACCCACCCGCGACCGACCGCGACCCACCCGCGACACACCCGCGACCTTCCTCGCGACCCACCCAAATTTTTCGGCACTTGCGGCGGGCTTCTTTTGCATTCGCTCCAGGTGGAGAACCTGCGACCCACCCGCGACCGAAACCGCGTTCAGTGTACAACTCAAAATTTTCGGCGCCTGCGGCGGGCTGTTTTTGAATTCCTTCCAGGTGGAGATGAGCCCGCGATCCACCCGCGACCCAAACTACGTTCACTGAACAAGCCAAAACTTCGACGCCTGCGGCGGGTTTCTGTTGCAGTCGTTCCAGGTGGAGAACCCGCGACCCAAACCGCGTTCAGTGTACAACTCAAAATTTTCGGCGCCTGCGGCGGGCTGTTTTTGAATTCCTTCCAGGTGGGGGTGAGCCCGCGACCCACCCGCGACTCAAACTACGTTCACTGAACAAGCCAAAATTTCGGCGCCTGCGGCGGGTTTCTGTTGCAGTCGTTCCAGGTGGAGAATCCCGCGACCCAAACCGCGTTCAGTGTACAACTCAAAATTTTCGGCGCCTGCGGCGGGCTGTTTTTGAATTCCTTCTAGGTGGAGGTGGAGATCCCGCGACCCACCCGCGACCCAAACTACGTTCACTGAACAAACCAACCAGAGTCGCCCGCGTCGCCCGCGCCCGCCCCCTCACTCTTATCCGCAATTGCGGGGTGCTACGTATATAGTCCTTGTGGTCACCCTCTTCCTCCCCCCTCCCACCTCATGCTCCTAGTCGCGCTGTTTTTTTCTCTGTGCTCCTCCGCATTCTGCGCTTCGCGTTCCCTCCCTCCCACTCGGGGGACGCCGACTGCTCACCTGCTCCAAGCCTAGCCAGGATCGGCACGGTTGGCGTTCTCCTGCGTACCGTCGCGAGCAATTCGAGCGAGCTCCATCGCTTCGAGTGAATGCGCGCTCCCGTCAGCCCTCTGAGGGATTCCCTCAGGGAGCCGCGGGCAGATCTCGCCCACGGCGCCGAGCACCAGAGCGGCGTCGAGTGCCACCGCAGTGCTGACTAGTGCCCAGGCCCATTTGGCCACTCCGCTGACCACGAAGGAGGGCCCTGAGGGAACAGGAATCCTTCAGGCCTTTCCCCACCTCCGGGCTCCCAGCTCCCTCCCCGGGCCCCGGGACCATCAGAGCTGGACTCGGAATGGAAACCTGGTCCACGCAGGTAGTGCACGCAGCGCCTACCCCTCCCTCGTCTCCGTCCCCTTTGCAAAAGACGACCATCAGTCCGACAAAGTAGTACTGACGTGGTCCGGCAGCCTCTTTGGTTTCCACGGCTGCTCTCTCTCGGAGGGAGGAGTCGGACGGGGCTGGGACGAGGATAGATCCGTTCCTGAGCGCTCCGGACGACCTCAGAGCGTTCTGGAACGCTCCGAGAAGGCCGCGGCGCCCGAGACATCCTCCAGAGCCGCCGGATCGCAGAGATTCTCGAGTCATCCTCTCCCGATGTCATCCTCGGCCTGGCTTCGCCTTCGAGAAGAAGGAGGAGGCGGAGGCTGCCCTGCGCCCCTCGCCTCCGTCCCCTCGAGGCCAGCCCCGGCGAGGCGTCGGCCCCGCCGCCGGTCGAGGCCGCAGCGGAGGAGGGAGCGCAGGAGCAGAAGGAGGGGGGAGGAGGAGGAGGAGGAGGAGGAGGAGGAGGAGGAGGAGGAGGAGGAGGAGGGGGTGTCTTCTCGCCGTCGAGATCGCGAGCTGACAGTCGGACCGATGTATGAGATCGAGGTCGGCTCGGGGAGGGCACCCTCGTGTTCTCCGTGTGCTTTGGATGCCTTGGTGCATCCTCGGGAGGGCACCCCCCGGGTGTTCTGTGCGTCTCGGCCGGCGGAGGGTCTCGTGGTCTTGAGGCATGCTCTTCTGGCCTCGGGCCGACTGCACCAGCAAGCGCCGCTCCAGAGGTGCTGGGCTCGGGGCTTGTCCGGGCCCAGAGCGCATCCGCTGCCAGGGTCAATCTGCCAAGGGGGAGCGTCTAGCTTCATGTTCCCACCGTGCCGTGGGATGGGCCTCCCAGTTAGGGCCTCGGGCGCGGGCGGTGGCAGGTCTCGCTGGTTCGCGGCCTTGACAGAGGTGCTGTTAGCTGGTTTGCGGAGCGGCCCGGATGGTCAGGTGGTCCAAGCGATCGGGGGCAGGTCGTGGAGGCGGGTGACGGGCGGGGTGAAGCGGATGTCGCGGCGGGTGGCTTGGGCGACGGAAGTGGCACAGGCGGCTAAGCGGCGGGGTGGGGGGGTAGCTTGGCGGAGTAGAGTGCGTAATTCGCAGAGCTTGGCTTGATGGTTTCGTCAAGTCCAGCTTGTGGGTTCCCGCCATGGCGAGTTGATTGGCGCGCGCGTAATAGTTGCAATGGGACGCGGGATCCCCGTTGCCGTAGAGAACGAGTATTTGGTGGTGCTCCACGTGGCGTTCAAACCTTGTCCCGATGACACAGGCATCGTTCAGTTTCACTCGTTTGCCGTAACTACGTTGCCCACCGTCTAAGACTATTACATGATTCGGCTTGTGCTGTTCCCAGAGCATGCATGGGCGTGCTCTTGTAGTTGCATGCCCCAGATAGCATGTGTTGTAGCTCGCCCTGTCCAGCCATTGCCTTCTCCAACGATGCGCTATTCAGTTGCACAGTACTCGCTCGAGCACGCTACGAACCTTCGGCGCCTCGAGTCACAGGCTATATTGCGTCTCTCGGCTCGCAGTGACAAACACAATACGTTCCCACATTCAAGCCCCAATTGAGTGTATGAATGCCCTTCCGTATCCGAGCCTAGCACCGTGGCAGGTGGGCAATACGACTTCAGAGCCCTTCGATTGCGACGCTGGCTACTCCAATTGGGAAGCGGCCTGGTCGGACAAGAAAAAGGACCCCGCTACGCATTGCTTCTGGATCCATCGACCTGCGCTTTGCTTCCGTATCCAGTCGAGTTGTACATCGTTTCGTCGCATCAGCACGGGCGACGGCGGCAGGGGGGGAAATCATACCAGTACATTGCTGACGGATGCACCTGAGGCGCTGCTCGTGAAGATATGCAGAGGCGAAGCGAAGGATTCCAAGGTAGCGCAAGCCAAAAGTATCCTGGCGAAAGACCAAACCATCGGAAGTTGTGGGTACCGCAATTGTGAATATCTTCTTCGGTGAAGCTCCTTATGGGGCCACGAAGCGTTGCGCTGGGCGGGGGGGAACGCATGCGGGCGGTAGCACTGGGGCCGTCGGTGAGGCTCCCTATGAGGCCACGAAACGCTGCACTGGGTGGGCGAAAATACCAAATTTGGCGTGTGGGACGCATGCGGGCGGTCCCATTGGGGGCTTCGGTGGAGCTCCCCATGGGGCCGCGAAGCGTTGTAAAGGGTGGGTGAAAATGCCAGATTGTGTGTGGGGGACACATGCGGGCGGCCCCCTTCGGTGAGGCTCCCTATGGGGCCACGAAGCGCTGTACTGGGTCCGTGAAAGTGTCAACTTTGGTGTGGGGGACGCATGCGGGCGGTCCCACTGGGGGTTTCGGCGGAGCTCCCTACGGGGCCACGAAACGCTGTACTGGGCCCGTGAAAGTGCCAAATTTGGTGTGGGGGACGCATGCGGGCGGTCCCACTGGGGGCTTCGGTGGAGCTCCCTATGGGGCCACGAAGCGCTGTACTGGGTGGGTGAAACGCAGGGAGCAAGGGCTGTGCTGGGTGGTGGCGGACGCATGCGGGCGGTGCCACTGGGACCTTTCGGTGGAGCTCCCTATGAGGCCACGAATCGCTGTGCTGGGTGGGTGAAACGCAGGGAGTAATGGCTGTACTGGGTGGTGGTGGACGCATGCGGGCGGTGCCACTGGGACCTTCGGTGGAGCTCCCTATAGGGCCACGAAACGTTGTGCTGGGTGGGTGAAACGCAGGGAGCAAGGGCTGTGCTGGGTGGTGGCGGACGCATGAGGGCGGTACCACTGGGGGCTTCGGTGGAGCTCCCTATGGGGCCACGGAGCTGTGCTGGGTGGGTGAAACGCAGGGAGCAAGGGCTGTGCTGGGTGGTGGCGGACGCATGCGGGCGGTGCCACTGGGACCTTCGGTGGAGCCCCCTTATGGGGCCAAGAAACCTTGTACTGGGTGGGTGAAACGCAGGGAGCAAGGGCCGTGTTGGGTGGTGGCGGACGCATGCGGGCGGTGCCATTGGGACCTTCCGTGGAGCTCCCTATGGGGCCACGAAACGCAGTACTGGGTGGGTGAAACGCAGGGAGCAAGGGCTGTGCTGTGTGGTGGCGGACGCATGCGGGCGGTCCCACTGGGGGCTTCGATGGAGCGCCCTATGGGGCCACGAAGCGCTGTGCCGGGTGGGTGATACGCATGGAAGTAGGAGGAGGGAGGGGAGGAGGGGGAGGAGGGGGAGGAGGAGGAGAGGAGAAGAGGAACGCGGGGACCGTCTCTTCAAAGCGAGGACCCAACACCACAAGATGGTTGGGAACAATACAACGTCAGATCAGACGAAGCAAATTGAGCCAAGGCCAGGCTCGCCAAGGTCAGCAAAGACAACGCTTCCCATCTTACTTGCCGTCTCTGCACCCTTGAGATCCGACAGCGCTAGAAATCGCAACCTGGCGAAAAATCACGACTCGAGCCCTAGACCCATATCTTCTTGCGCCATTTTTCGAGCTGGATCGATATGTGAGAGTCCTGGGGCCCCAAGCTGGGCGAAAACGCCCGGCTTGAAAGAATCGAGACGCCAGGATCTCAGGGACATTGGGCCGGTTTCCTTGCGGCCCCATCTCACGAGGAGTGGTGCTGCGACAAGAAGCAGATGGGCTGCACCACGAAGGTCTGGGGGATGCCAACCACGCGGCGACTCTGGACTCGGCCAGAGCCACCCTGGGCTCAGGACTGGTGGTAGCACCTTCCCCTTGCCCAGCCGTGAGCCAGGAAGGAGGGCACGTATGCCAATCCCCGGCGGCGAGTGAGGGAGGGGGAGTGAGGAGAAGAAGGCCCTCTCAAAAGGCGGCGGGGCTTCTCAGAAAGCTCGGGCCTTCCGAGAAGTGTTCCATGTCGTCGGGGCAGGCTTAGACAATTTTCTCGGAAACCCAGGGGACTTTCGAGCCTTCTGAGAAGGCAGGGCTGGACCTAAACGGTGTGTTTGGTGATTTCGTGGGCCGTTTTCGTTTCGACTTCATGTTGCGGCACAGGTGGATTCGAGACAAAAGCGAGGGAAAGCGGAAACAGAACGAAGACGAAAAGCACCGCTTAGGCTCAGCCCTGTGCGAAGGCCCGCTCCCCCCCTCGCCTCCCTCCGTGGCGCGCCGCCGAACGGAGGGCACTGCACACGCCACCCCGAGGCCCAGGGCGGGTCGCCAGCCGTGCACCGGCACTGGGCCCTGCCAGGACCCGCCCCGCCGGGCGCCCGGGACCCCCCCCCCCTTGGAACGGTCCTCTGGGGAGCTCCTTGCCTCGATACGCCCGTTTCGATACGCAACGCGTGCCGTGCTCAAGACGTGCGTGTCAATACGTTGCGTGTTGGCTCCACGTATTGGACCACTTTTTGGCGAATGTATCGCGTCGGACCTACGTTTTCAGCCTACGCGTTGAGCTCCGCATCAATACGACACGTGTTGCGGGTTGCGTATCGGGGTATCTAGGGCCTGGGGCCTGCCTCGAGGAGGCCGCGGCGCCAGCGTGTGCTCGAGCGGCTCTGCCCCCGAGGTGCCTCCCGGCGGCGGTGCCGCGCCGGCGTCCACCAGCGGCCCGCCGCTGCCGCCCGGAGGCGGTGACGACAGCGCGCCCCTCACCACGGACAGCGGCGGTGAGGACACCACTGACGGGGACGTCGCTCCAGGGGCTGCTGCCCACGACGCTCCGCCACCGCCAGACGGAGGTGGGCAGCCAGCACCCGCCACCGCGCCCTCCGACAAGGGCGTCATCCTCGTGGTCGACACCTCCGTCGCTGGTCCCATTCCGGGGGCACCGTGTGAGTGCACAGAGACCGTGTTGGACGGCAGCTTCGCCCCGGGCGACCCGGGCGCCTACGGCACCTGCGAGGCGGGCGAAGTGGGATGCTGTGCACGATCAAATTATGTGAAATGCGATGGCGCTGCTGTGCTGATGCCGACCAGCAGCGTTGCCGCACTGCCGGCAGGCGGCATGCCTTCTGACGATGGGACAGTTCCAGCGCCAGCCAGCACCCTTGCGCTATCCAGTTGCCTGCGGCAAGCCCCGCCACCGTGCCAGCGCAGGTTCAAATGCATGCGGGATTCCACCAAGGTATCCAGACAGGCTCGCGTCGGTAGAGCCATCTTGGGGCTGCCTAGGGCTCGACGGTGCTGCGATAGTACCGTGACGCAGCCGCAGCGTTGGTAGTTGAGTTGCGTTTCGGGGGGCTTCTAAGGCTCATTAGGGGCTTGTTCGGTGCCTCCTGTCATTAGGGTTCTCTTGTCACTGCGGTTCTCTCGGCGGCCTGTTGGAGGTGTCGAGGCCGATTTGAGCACGATGATTCAGGCGACATCTCCCAAAAAGGCTCAGTTGAACCACCTTGGAAACGCCTTGGCAGGTCTTGAGGTTATCCTGGGCCCTACTGAGGCCGTCTGGGGGGCCAGGGCATCTGGCCGTCCTGTGGCCGTCTTGAAGCCCTTGGGGGTTCGTCTCGGGGACCCCTTGGGACATCTTGGTGGAGCCTTTCGTGGGATGCTGGGCCGTCGTTGGCTGGTATTGGGGCATCTTGCAGCAGCTTTCGGTCGTCTTGGGTCCGTCTTGAGGCCGAGGAGAGTTCCGGAGAGCAAAACTCGGAGGGGCGATCGGGCATGGCCGCGAGAGGTGGGGCGGGGGGGCGACCCTAGAAAACTATAGAAGCCCCACCAGACAGCTGCTAGGCATTCCAGAACTCCCCAACGTGCCGAGAGCACGGTGGCGGACCACCGGGTGATGGCGCTGTGCAGGGACCCAGCGAGACGATTACCCCACTACCATCGGACGAAGTGGGAACCGCCACTACTGCCGATGACGAGTCATCCGACAGCAAGAGCGGGAACCCGGTGCATGGTAATGGCATGCCCCTTCCGACACCAGCCGGCAGTGGCACGCCGGAGCCCAATAGCAGCAGCGGCCTCCTGCTACCACCAGACGGCACGCCTTCTGACAATGGCACATCGACGCCAGCCGACGACCTTGCCGATGGTGTTGCGCCAGGACCCAGCGGCGCGATGCAGCCCCTGCCGCCAGACGAGACACCCATAAGCAACAGCACGATTCCAGTGCCTGGCGACGCAATGACCCCGTTGCCACCAGATGGAAATGCTTTGACGCTTCCCAGCGGCAGCGGTCATCCGCTGCCGCCAGGCGGCATTGCTTCTGATGGCGGTGCGATTCAGACGCCAGTCAGCACCGAGGTGCTACCAACAGACGACGGTGCTGTCCCGAAACCAAGCGGTGCGGTCCCCCCACTACCGCCAGACGAAGTACCTGTTAGCGATAGCACGATTCAAGCGCCTGGCAACAGCACCCCACTACCGCCAGACAACGGAGTCCAAACAGCGGTCCCGATACTACCTGCAGACGCGTCGCCCTTTGGTGCGCCTTCTGACGTCCCTGGGGGCCCACCACCGCAACCACCAAGCAACCCACCTTCCGAGAGCGGTGCCGACGCAGCAGACCCCCCGCTACCTGGTGCGCCTTCTGACGGCCCTGGGAGCCCGCCACCACTACCGCCGAACAATCCCCCTTCCGACAGCGGTGCCGACGCAGCAGACCCACCGCTACCTGGTGCGCCTTCTGACGGCCCTGGGGTCCCGCCACCACTACCACCGAACAACCCACCTTCCGACAGCGGTGCCGACGCAGCAGACTCACCGCCACCATCAGGCGGAGCACCACTGCCATCGCCGCAACCACCAGACGCCAAGCCTGACGGCGACGACAACCCAGCAGCGCCGCACCCATCACTGGACGCCCCGCCTGCTCAGGGTGGTGCTGCCTCAGCGCCGTCACCACCAGACGCCCCTCTGCATAGCGGTGCTGATTCCGCGCCGCCATCACTACCACCAGACGCCCCAGCTGCTGATGGCGGTGATGGCTCAGCGGCGCCGGGAGTTGCAGTTCCCAGCGGGGTCCCCGTGCCATCCTGAAGTGTGAGCACGTGGACGGCGGCAAGCAGGAGCTGCAGACCACGCGCCGATGGGGAACGACGGCTGCGAAGGCGATCGACGTCAATTCCTTATTGATTGCTGATTGCTTTGCTCCCTGCTTGCGGCTCAATTGGTGTCATGTCGCGTCCGGGTGCTCTCCATCTGTTGGCTGCTCCACCTCTCGTGTTGCCGTTGCCCTGCTCCGCCTGCGTCGACGTCTTCTCTCTTCTTTGTCGTACTAGACCGCGCGCCGCCTCACTTGGTGCCTTTCTTCTTTACCTACAAAAAGGCCATCACATCATACGTTGCGGTAAAAACGCCACGCGATGCAAGATCACGATCAGGGCGAGCGAGTCATTCAATTCGTATAGCATGTCTTTAAGGTTGGATCGATCCATGACGGTCGAGGGGCCCGAGACAGACCAACTGAGCCAGTCGTGCTGTTCTTCCCGACGCCCAGATTTCAAGGTCCTCCTCCTTCAAAATCGGCCCTTGGGACGTGTGGTGCAAGCTCTGTGGTGCAATCTACGTGGTGCAAACCACTTCGACTGTCTTGAAGCTGTCCTCTCCACTGCTCGTGCAAACATCCCACCCTCCCACCCGCAACTTGGACGCAAGACATCTTCAGACAAGACCGTGACGGTAGGTACTGCGTGGCACTTGGCCACGACACCGATGCCGACGACGACAGCGACATCGACGACGACGGCGCCGCCGACAGCGACTGCGACGACACCGACGACGTCTCCCATGTTTTCGACGACGACAACGACGACGACGACACCGACGATGACGACAACGACGCCGACGCCGACGACGAAGACGACGACGACGTCGCCAACGGAGACGACGACGAGAGGGGAGAACAAACGACGACGGCGACAACGACGACAACGACGATGGAGGAGGGAAGACGGCGACGACGCCAACGACGAAGAAGGAGGAAGGACGGAAACGCCGACGACGACAACGACGAGGAAGGAGGGAAGACGACGACGATGACAACGACGACGAAGACGACGACGACGACGGCGACGAAATAGGAGGAACGACGACGAGACGCCGACGACGGACGACGACGACGAGGGAGGAGGATAACGACGAGGGAGGAGTGAAGACCACGACGACGACGACGACGACGACGACGACGACGACGGCGACGAAATAGGAGGGACAACGACGAGACGCCGACGAAAATAACGAGGGAGGAAGGACGACCACGGCGACAACGACGACGGAAACGACGACGACGCCAGAGACGACGAGGAAAGACAGAAGACGACGACGGCGACGACGACGACGACGACGACGACGACGAGGAAGGAGGGAGGACGACGACGACGACGACGCAAGAGCGCGCGCGCACAATTTTGTTGAAAACCCGTGTTGCGAAACCTTGTGTTTTTGTAGGTTTTTTGGACGCACGATTTCGACATTCTTCCGAAACCGAAGGTTTTTGAAGGATTTCGGCATACGCCCGCGACGACGCGCGCGTCTGCACTTCGCCCCATTTTTTGCAGAGGATTCTCGCGACGGCACACGCGCAAGGGCGTTCGACAGATTTCGACATGCGCGCGCGCGAAGCCCGTTTGGTAGCATTTTGTGAAAATCTGGGAAAACCTATGGTTTCCTTATGATTTCGCAAGAGCTCGCGCGTAAGTTTTTCCCAGCCATCCTGTGGTGTTGGGTCCTCGTTTTGAAGAGACGGTGCCCCGCGTTCTCCTTCCTTCCTTCCTTCCTTCCTTCCTTCCTTCCTCCCGCTGCCTCCTCCCCCTCCTCCTCCCTCCTCCCCCTCTTCCCTGCGTTTCACCCCCCCAGTACACCGTTTCGTGGCCCCATAGGGAGCTCCGCCGAAGGCCCCAGTGCTGCCGCCCGCATGCGTCCCCCACACCCAATTCGGCACACCCCTCGCACGTTTCGTGGCCCCATAGGAGCTCCGCCGAAGGCCCCAGTGCTGCCGCCCGCATGCGTCCCCCACACCCAATTCGGCACACTCCTCACACGTTTCGTGGCCCCATAGGAGCCCCGCCGAAGGCCCCAGTGCTGCCGCCCGCATGCGTCCCCCACACCTAATTCGGCACACCCCTCACACGTTTCGTGGCCCCATAGGAGCTCTGCCGAAGGCCCCAGTGCTGCCGCCCGCATGCGTCCCCCACACCCAATTCGGCACACCCCTCACACGTTTCGTGGCCCCATAGGAGCACCGCCGAAGGCCCCAGTGCTGCCGCCCGCATGCGTCCCCCACACCCAATTCGGCACACCCCTCACACGTTTCGGGCCCCAGAGATCCTCCCGCCGACAGCCCAGTGCTGCCGCCCGCATGCGTCACCCACACACAATTCGGCACACCCCTCACACGTTTCGTGGCCCCATAGGCGCTCCGCCGAAGGCCCCAGTGCTGCCGCCCGCATGCGTCACCCACACACAATTCGGCACACCCCTCACACGTTTCGTGGCCCCATAGGAGCTCAGCCGAAGGCCCCAGTGCTGCCGCCCGCATGCGTCACCCACACCCAATCCGGCACACCCCTCACACGTTTCGTGGCTCCATAGGGAGCTCCACCGAAGGCCCCAGTGCCCGCGCCCGCATGCGTCAGCCACACCCATTTCGGCACACCCCTCACACGTTTCGTGGCTCCATAGGGAGCTCCACCGAAGGCCCCAGTGCCCGCTCCGCGCCCGCATGCGTCACCCACACCCAAGTCGGCACACCCCTCGCACGTTTCGTGGCCCCATAGGAGCTCCGCCGAAGGCCCAGTGCTGCGCCCGCATGCGTCACCCCCCATTCGGCACACCCCTCACACGTTTCGTGGCCCCATAGGAGCTCCGCCGAAGGCCCCAGTGCTGCCGCCCGCATGCGTCCACCCACACCCAATTCGGCAACCCCTCATTCTTTTCGTGGCCCCATAGGAGCTCCGCCGAAGGCCCCAGTGCTGCCGCCCGCATGCGTCCCGCACACCCAATTCGGCACCCCCCTCAATTTCGGGCCCCTAGGGAGTCTCCGCCGAAAGGCCTTCCGCCCGCATGCGTCCCCCACACCCAATTCGGCACACCCGTTCGTGGTCCCATAGGGAGCTCCGCCGAAGGCCCCAGTGCTGCCGCCCGCATGCGTCCCGCACACCCAAGTCGGCACACCCCTCACACGTTTCGTGGCCCCATAAGGAGCTCCGCCGAAGGCCCCAGTGCTGCCGCCCGCGTGCGTCACGCGCACCCAATTCGGCACACCCCTCACACGTTTCGTGGCCCCATAGGGAGCTCCGCCGAAGGCCCCAGTGCTGCCGCCCGCATGCGTCACGCACGCCCAATTCGGCACACCCCTCACACGTTTCGTGGCCCCATAGGGAGCTCCGCCGAAGGCCCCAGTGCTGCCGCCCGCATGCGTCACGCACACCCAATTCGGCACACCCCTCACACGTCTCGTGGCCCCATAGGGGCTTGTGCTGCGCCCGCGTGCCACGCACACCCAATTCGGCACACCCTCACGCGTTTCGTGGCCCCATAGGGGGCTCCGCCGAAGGCCCCAGTGCTGCCGCCCGCATGCGTCACCGCACACCCAATTCGGCACACCCTCACACGCTTCGTGGCCCCATAGGGAGCTCCGCCGAAGGCCCCAGTGCTGCCGCCCGCATGCGTCACGCACACCCAATTCGGCACACCCCTCACACGTTTCGTGGCCCCAAAGGGGGCTCCACCGAAGGTCCCGGCGGGTGTGCCCGCATGCGTCCCGCACATTTATTTCGGCACACCCCTCACACGCTTCGTGGCCCCATAGGGAGCTCCACCGAAGGCCCCAGTGCTGCCGCCCGCATGCGTCCCGCACACCTATTTCGGCACACCCCTCACGCGTTTCGTGGCCCCACAGGGAGCTCCGCCGAAGGTCCCAGTGGGTGTGCCCGCATGCGTCCCGCACACCCATTTCGGCATGCTCTTCACACGTTCGTGGCCCCATAGGGAGCTCCACCGAAGGCCCCAGTGGGTGTGCCCGCATGCGTCCCGCACACCCAATTCGGCACACCCCTCACGCGCTTCGTGGCCCCATAGGGAGCTCCACCGAAGGTCCCAGTGGGTGTGCCCGCATGCGTCCCGCACATTTATTTCGGCACACCCCTCACACGCTTTGTGGCCCCATAGGGAGCTCCACCGAAGGCCCCAGTGCTGCCGCCCGCATGCGTCCCGCACACCCATTCGGCACACCCCTCACGCGTTCGTGGCCCCACAGGGAGCTGCCGAAGGTCCCCCCACAGGGAGCTCCCATAGGGAGCCGAAGGCCCCAGTGGGTGTGCCCGCATGCGTCCCGCACACCCATGTCGGCACACCCCTCGCACGTTTCGTGGCCCCGCAGGGGGCTCCACCGAAGGTCCCAGTGGGTGTGCCCACATGCGTCCCGCACACCCATTTCGGCACACCCCTCACACGCTTCGTGGCCCCATAGGGAGCTCCACCGAAGGTCCCAGTGGGTGTGCCCGCACGCGTCCCGCGCACCCATTTCGGCACACCCCTCACACGTTTCGTGGCCCCATAGGGAGCGCCACCGAAGAAGATATTCACAATTGCGGTATTCACAATTGCATATGGTTGGGTCCTTCGCCAGGATATATATATATATATATATATATATATATATATATACAAGACTGCATTGGCGCTTCGCGCCATGCACCTTGGTCCTTCAACCCTTGCGCGCGTTGGCGTCTAGCGCGGCCCTCCACGGTCTTTGAACCGCGGTTGGTTCGCGCCCAGTTCCCGGACCTGCACCTTACTTGCTCGCGCCCTCGCTCTGCTGGTCCGCGCGCCACTGGGACTCCATGAGAATGTCCCAGCGGACCGATCAGCGGCGATGAGAGCGGCCGTGGAGGCTCCGGAAATACAAAACGTCGGACAGAAGGGGCGGGAAAGAAGTGGAGGACGATTTGGGGAGGCGCGGCGAAGGGAGGAATATCATGAGGTAAGGTAAGGTAAGGCACGCATTGGGGCGGCGTGCTGTCTCGACTTGCGCATGGGGGTGAGACAAACGGAGATGCCTTGCGATCACATATGGAAACAGACCAGGGGGCTGCGGCTCCAAGGACTG